GAGTTGCTGATGAATTTGAACCAGTACCATGCAGCTACATTGAAGTCCTTCTTCTCCATCTGGACTGCCGCCTCAATCCACCTTGGGGTGGTATCAGAAATTTGAGGACCAAACTAGCCCTTTAGGTCATCCAGGGATTGAGTTGTCGCTAGACCCTCATACTCATGCTCAAACCCCGTTGTTCTATCGAAAACAACATTAATGTGATCACTGCTACACCCCACTTCTCTCCCCCGAACCAAGACGGACTTCACTGATCTAAAGGCACTGGCCTTCTTCTTCCCCTGTGGAACTAAATCACCGTAAGAATAATAGAACTCACGGACCCAGGTGGAAATGTATGGTCCTCGGGGCCTGGAGAAGATATCGAATTTGTGCCATCGTAGTGTATCCCACACTAAAGGGTACCTGCCCTCTTGCACTCTATGGACAACAAATTCTCCTTGAGAACCGTCCTCAATCCCTCGTCCTTTATCCGATTTAGTATCCAAGGGGGAAGACCCTGAACCGGTGGCGCTGGAACCGCTGTCTGTGCTGGAGCGGGAACTGTATCTGCAGTAGGAGGTATGGTATCTGGGATCCTAGAAGGATCCTAGCGAACTCTAGAATAAATCTCGTCGCGTCGGGATTGCAGATGCTGGTCATCCTCAAGCTTAGAGAATGGAGCCTAGGAATCGAAGGACTCCTCTTCGCTATCGGAGTTATGCTACGGTACCTCAGATGCGGGTGCTTTGTCGTTCTCTTTTCCTCCCTTAAGAGGTGTCGTCTTTCCCTTTTTACGAGGGTTAGCTGCCCCTCATTAATAACTATGCCACATACTCTTTTTTGAGGTGACATATCCAGGTTGGTTCTACACATATCTAAAAAATACATCATAATAAGTTAGAATTAATCCAAGAAAAATTGCAAAAATAGGATGCAGACAAGCTTGCCGAATCGATTGGCTGGTCGCCGAATCACTTTGGCGAACCAAATCAGGCTCGCGGAAAGGATTGGCGCAAAAATTTTCCAAAAAAATAGCATGTCGGCGATAATAAGTGTCTTTCGGCAAGTTACCGATATCAGTCGGCGAGCACATATTAGCCCGTTGAAAAGTACAGTGTGTTTTAGGGGATAGGGGAGCAGAAAAGGGTGATCAAGTAGACTTTTGGCAAGTCGCCGAGGCGAACTCAGGTTTCTCGCCAAAAGTTACAGAACAAAACTCAACAAAACCACAGAACTAAAGGTGATCAAGGGGAATTTCGGTGAACGGCCTAGTGGTACGGGTAGCTCGACCCAGCTCGCCAAACTCCCCAACGTGCCTATTTTCAACCCCAACTTCTAAAATCAACCACGCAGCCCCTGAAACAAAATCAAACCACACACACTGTTATTAAGCCCAGACCCATTAGATCCATGCCACCGGGGTACTCAGCCTTCCCTAGGTTTTGCCAAAATTTAGACCTTAGGAATGACATCAAACCCTCCATCATTGAGCAAAGCACATCATTTAGCACAACTTGGGTTACTTAAACTTCACCAGACTATACTCAACAACAATTAAGCACTACTAAACAATTTATGATCAATTTGAAAGCATGAAATTCGGAAAATCAACAACTTAGGCAATTTAGGCATGATCTCAAAATTAAAATAGGCAAACAAGCATACATATAAGAATTCAGAGAGGCCCAACACACATCAACACAATTCATAATAAAGCATTTGAGTTCAACGCTATTTATGAGTTTGGGGTTCGGAAAAACCAACCTTTATGCCGAAATATGAGTTTGTAAAGCTAGGCAGAAAAGTGTACAACTCCGAACATAGAAGCAACGACTAAAGGCGGTAAAATGCAAAAATATAGGAAATTTGAACTGCGGGTGTGATTGTATGAAGTTGAAAAAGAGGGAATATGAAAGAGCTTGAAAGTTTAAACCTTTGGCCTTTTAAAACCATTGAGTTAGTGCCCTTTTGGCGATATTATTTTTCCTCGCCTAATCGCTCGACGACAAGCCGAGTGGTTACTTACCTCGTCGAGTTTTACATGAACTCCAGTCAACCTAGGGGTCCAAACGGTGGATAAAGTCGGGCTCGCCGAACTCTTCGGCGATTTTCCAACTTGTCCATGGCCTGCCGGGTTTTACAAACTCCAACCTGATCATTTCCTGAGCCTAACGGTGGTCCAAGTTGAGCTCCTTGACCCCTTAGGCGAGTCGCCGACTGGACATTTTTCTCGCTAACCTGCACTTTTAAAACACATTCTGCACTTCAAACTACACAATGAACACACGTTATTCCAAAACAAAAACAAAGCAAAAAAAACTTGGGTTGCCTCCCAAGCAGTGCCTTAGTTAATGTCGTGGCACGACGCAAGTCCCCACTAAAACTTCATTCTTGGGGTTTGCCATAGTATCACTACGCAACCCCTCTTTTTGCATTGGGTTGAGAAGAGCCGAAAGATGGCCAACTTGGGTCACCAGTAGTTCAATAGATACGGAATAAGAAGCAGTCATCTGAGTTAGCATTGAGACATTCTCTTTTATCTCTTTCAACTTTATGTTGTGTTCTTTGACTCTGTGGAGAATAAGTGACAGTGTCTCCTCTATCTGTCCACCCTCGTAGTCCTCGAGCTTTCTACGCTCGTGAGGAGGAATGTACCTATCTTTCTTTTTGTATAGTACTTCAAATTCCATAATATTTTTTCCCGAGAGATCCAGTTGAGTCAACAGTATGGCCAAATCCTGGTCCTTCTTTGTCTCCTTGTTGTTCTTAGTCATGTGATCAATGAGTTGGGCTACTATTGCGTAGGGTTGTCGTATTAGACCACCCGAAGAAAGTTGGTCAGCCACTCATCTATTCTCAGGAGAAAGACTCTATAGAAGCATTCCAGTAGAATCTTATCTGGGATTCCATGAGTAGGGCATTGCAACAATAGTACCTTACATCTCAGCCACAACTCATGGATTGTCTCACCCTCCAATTGTTTGAAATTTAGGATGTCATCCCTAAGAATCATTGCTTTTAAAGGAGAGTGGTCCACTGGGTTACCGTTGCTACAAGATATGCTCATTTCCTCTGTTCTAAACAGCAACACGAAAACCAAAACTAAAAATAACTATATTAATCGATCACTAGAAAAAATAAAATTCAACCTCACCAAAAGAATCTCAAACAACACCACTCCCAGCAGCGACGCCATTTTGACTAATAACGTTTCAATGACACTTCGTCCAATTCTAAGCGTCAACGATCGTTAATTAGTATATAACCCAACTAAGGGATTTGGGGTCGAATCCCACAGGGAGCAGTATGTGTTTCAGATTCAATTGGGAAGTACGCACATGATCAAATCAGTCATAGGAATAAAAATTATCGAATAAATACGTCATTCAAATCAGGGGGTGACACGTATGTCAAATGAGGGGTTTTAAATTTGATTATCAACTACAATCAATGGCAAACAATACAAAATTAACAATAATGAGACGGATATTTGGGATGTTATCGATTATAGGCTAATATAGACAAATGGGTAATTGCAACTATTAGAAAATATTTAGACATTAGTGAGTAAGCTAGACTATAGAGGATATAAACTTTCTCTCAAACAATTCACCCCAAATCAAGTTGATTTCTCGTGAACATGTACAAGCATGAAAAATAAGACCAGCTCACACCTTAGTCTATTCACTCTCTCGACCTGAATGTGTAGGATTGGGTTTAGGATTCACTCTCTCGAGTTGAACCCAGGTCAACCCATACCCACTGACCATCAACCTATAATTTTAGTTCTAAAAGCTCTCTCTCAAGGAAGCCAAGATCACATACAGAGAACTACATTCGCAAATACAATTCTTGAACTAAACAATAATTAATGATTAAACTCACTTCTAAATAGCATTTAAACTAAAAATTAGCAATACTCATAAACTAAATCAGCCCATAATCACATAATCACACCCAAAGAACTGGGGTTTTAGCTAGACATGATAAAAAGGTAAAAATCGTTACAGAATTTATTATCCATTAATTGGGTAAGATTGATTTCGTCCTTACAATGTTCCAATTCGAAGAATCTCAAAGACCCACTTCCAATTTCTCAAAAGTGAAAAACTTCAATTCTTCAAATCTTAGGAAAAACTAGAGAAAACTTGTCACACAGTTCAAAACTCAAAAATAGATTAAAAATATATGAGCTAAGATACCAAACTAAATGTTAAAAAATGTATTTATAGTCGCCAAAAATGTTCTGCGACGAGTCACTCGGTGAAGTAAGTCACCGAATCACTTGCTGAGCCGCCCTTTGATCACTTTCATCGCACTTCTGCCTTGGCATTCAGCATCCCACCACAACATTTTATGCCTACAACAACCCTAGAAAGGTGTGGCCTAAACTGTTAAAAAGTGTGGCCTTTGATAAAAGGCCACATTTTTTTACTTTAAGGCACAATTTTCCAGGGGTGGCCGAAAGAAGCGTAACCTTAGAGTTTAGGCGACACTTTTCAAGTGTTGCCTTATCAGCTACGCTTAAAAGCGTAGCCTAAAAGGCAAAAAGGTCACGCTTTGCACTACCTCATATAGCAATATTTCTATCTCATACAACTACACTTTCAAGTGTGGCCTTTGTTTCCTTAGTTCCCACGATTTTAAAGTGTTGCCTTTTCTATCCTATGTATAACAACATTTTGAAGTGTAGTCCTTGTCCATGTGCATACAACAATTTACCATCCTTTGACTGCACTTTTAAGTCTGGTAATATTATTTTGGCTATAAAATATTTATATGATAAAAATTTTAATTATAAAACACTAGTATTGTTTTGCAATAAATAATATCAAGCATTAAATTAGCTAATAAGTAATTCAAATATATAGATTTGCAATAAATTTCAAAAGATAGTATGTCTTGTGTACATACACATACTTATAAAGCAATATTCTAAATGTCTGTACACAATAGTTCAATATATTCTAGGAATGAATATATTTCACAAAACTAAATATAATGTATTCAAACATTTACAATAGTGCTTGTAAAATGTTGTCAGGAGGAGGAAGCGTGGCAAGCTTTGAACCCTGGTAATTTGCACGGAAAAAAAGTTAGTTCAGGTTTTGCCAAAAAAGATATTAAGTAAGTTGAGGCACAACTAACAGACAGTAGAATAAAATAAGTTAAAGAACCATTAAATAAAAATAGGTTTTACCTCACGACAGTGATAGTTTGGACCAGGAAGCTGAGTAGAATAGAACGTTATGATCCAAAGGAATTGACAACCCTATAAGTACCAAAAAGAGGTCAGGTACAACACAACATTCTTAGACACACACAATTGCAGCAACCAAATAAGACATAATGCTGTCGTTTGAAGCAAAAATATCAAGGTTTAGTCACCTAAATATATAAATTTCTTCAGCAAAATCTCTTTGCACATCTTCATTTAGGCACTCAGACTTGAGAACCTTAATAGCCACTTCCTGATAATGGAATGAACCTTTATACCTGCAAATACGATAAATTGTTAGGATACCCTCAGTGGCTCTATTGTATTCTTGATTCAAAGTTGACATTTTTACTGACAAATCACCACTTGAGCCAGTTGCAATTTTATATTCATAATTCAACAGTGCATTGTCGATTTCCCATACTTCCCTCCAGTTGCTTGGTGTATCTACATGGTTCGCTGTGATGTTGATATGAGTTTGTACAAACTTCATTTTGAGGAACAAAAGGTCTTGATTTAACCCCAGTTATTTCAGTATTGCATTGAGTCTGTCAATGACTTACCCATCCATATTTGAAATTTCCTTCAACAAGACACTTCTTAGCCGATCAGTTTCCTAACAATGACAAAGGAGATAAAACGTCGAGACTTATATGAAGATATATCGAGATGAAGTACCTCAATTTATATATCATCTAAATGAGTACCTCATTATCCCAACCATCAACCACAAAGACATCCAAGGAGTAACCGTCTTTTGTTGAGAGAGCATGATCTTCATGAATGTTCAATCCAATCTCTAAAAGTAAAGAAGTCAACTGAAATAAACGTGCATTAACCTTAATCGATATATCATGTAAAAAACTTAATAGATAATGTTAGGAGAGGGGAAATGTCTGAACAAGATGTCTACATTCTGAAAAAGTGACTATAAGTGACAGTTTTGGAAAAAGGTGGTAAACTACTTATGAAGACACAAAACTACTAATAAAATGTTGCAAGGAGAACTCAAAAACATAACAAAAAATTGTAATCCTGACAGCAACATCAAAAGGGGATGTTTTTATGTATTGACAAACTGGAGCAGGTCACTGCACCAAATGAAAAGCAAATTTTCTTATTTACTTGATATGGTAAAATTCCGAAGAATCATGATATATAGTATCATTCTATGAGAGTACATAGTGATTATTGAAAGAGATATAACGTTGAGATAGAAAAGGCTCACCCAAAAGAAGAGTTTGGGCTTGTCAAGTGTGGAAAACGTTATTTCATATACATACAAATGCATCACAAACATGTACAAAGTAGACCTACTCACAACATGGTTTATAGAACAATGCATCCCAAACCAGAAACTATATGTCATGTCTTTTTTTTTCAATAACAAGTTCACATATCTTCTTTCCAAATCTTCTCTTCTTTTACCTTACTCTAATTCATTGTTTATCTCAAACCCACACTGTTAATTCAAGACTCCAAAAATCAAATTGTAGACTACTAATAGAGATACAAAAGAAAAAAGAATTGACGAATTGGCGAATGGCTATTTGATCTCCTAAAGTTCCAGTGTGCCAAGACCTGGGGGAAGAAATCAAGTCGGCGATGGAAAGGAGCAGTCGGCGGATCACCGAGTAATTCCACGATGCAATACTGGATCACCCAAAATTATAGACCTTGAGGATGCTGAATGCAAAGGTACAAAGCCGATGAAAGTGACCAAAGGGTGGCTGGCTGATTTGACGTATCCGGGTACTTCATCCAATACTAAGTGTCCACGGTCGTTCAATAGTATTATAACCCAACTAGTGAGTTGGGGTCGAGTCCCAAGGGAGCGGTTTCTAATAGAGAATCAATAGAAAAGCAAAAATGTGTTCAAGTTAATCATAGCTATAGACATTTACGAAGATAAACATGATAAATTATAGAGTAACACAAGTGTCAATTATCAAAGGGGGTTTTGTAAGCAATTATCAACTAAAATGACAACTAAAACGAAAATGCAATTATGGAGACGTGATTCTTGCGATGTGATAGGAATATGGGCTAAAATACACAACCATGTAAATGCCATTGATAGTAACTCGTTGCAAATTTGTAACTAGGCTAGACTTTAGTTGGAGTAAATTTTCTCTCGAACAATTTACCCCAAATCAAATCGGTTTCTCTTGAACACCGATAAGCGGCAATGAATCATAGCTTTTGCCTTAGTCCATTTACTCTCTCGAGCTGAATGTGTGGGAGAGGGTTTAGGATTCACTCTCTCGAGCTCAACACACGATAAGCCAATAACCATAGACTATCGATTCAGTAGTTATGGTTTTAAATCTTCTCTCTCAAGTAAGTAAAAAACATGAAGACAAAATTGTATTTGCAACTATAACCCCACTTAATTCAAACACAACTACTGAACGAAATCACCTCTAAACAGCGAATAAACAATCGATTAGCAATACCCAGTAGTAAATTCAACCCATATTCACAAAATCACACCCCAAGAATTGGGGTTTTAGCTAGACATAGTAATGAGATAGAAATCGATACGGAAAAGTGTTTCCATCAAATGGGTACGATAAATATCGTCTTTACACACGTCAAGCATGAAGAATCTTCAATTCCAACTTCCAATTGCTTAGAAAATGGAATTGTTCAACTCTTCAAAGCTAAGGAAAAATTGTCTCCCAAAAACTAAGTTCTCAAACTGAGTAATTCTAAAAACTGGTTTCTGAATTGTAAAACTTAATACTAAACTAAAAATTCAAACAGGTATTTATAGTTGTCAAAAACTGTGTTGCGAAGGATCACTCGGTGCAGTTAGTCGGGATCGCCGATCCACTCGGCGATTCCCCCTTTGATCTGATTCATTGCCTTTCTACATTGTCCTTCAGCAACTTCAAGTTCTGTAACATTGGGGGGATGGAGTACTGCATCGCGGAATCGTTCGGTGACTCGCCGACTACTCATTTATCTCGCCGACTCAATTTTCTCCTTCAAAGCTTGGCACACTGGAACATTAGGCGAGACCATAGCCATTCGGCGACACTCCTAATGGCTTAGGTGATCCTCAGGCTGTCTATTATTTGTTCTTTTCATCTGTCTTGTTCCTTTCTGCCTAATAGTGTCCATGCTTAGGCTCTAACTCCAAAATACCTGAAACTCAAGGATTTTCACATGTTATTGACACAAAATATGCATTTGAGGACACTAAATCCATCAAAATATATCCCTCAAAAGAGTCCAAATTGTGGACTCATCAACACCCCCAATTTAAACTTTTGTTTGTCCTCAATTAAAACTCAAGTTCAGAAGTTGAAAAAGGATGTCTCAAACAGTACTACACAAGACTCAAATATGAATGCACACAAAAAGTCTCAACTTACCTATGCAAGGATCAATTGTGCACTCAAAGATTCAAGTTGTGAGTCACCATTACCAAAGAATCTCAAGCTCACTATACTTGCTTCAAATGCAAGTTCAAGCTCAACAAAGGTATTCAAACACCCTCACAAAAAGAATGATTCCATATTCACTCAATGGTTCAATCAATTAAAGTTTCGGAATCAAGAACAACACGCACACTCACAAAGATAAACTAAATGCATGATTTCACCCATAGGATTGCCCTAATTTTCCAATTGACTTTTGCTTCAGTTCATTCAAGATCAAAAATGTATTTTCAAGGCATGTATTGGGCCTGCGTGTAATGGTATGATCATTTAGGCTTATAGGCTGAAAATTATCATGAAAAGTGATGTGAACAACACCTTATTTCCTTCTCTTTATCATTTTCATTCAAGCTCAAAAGTCACCTCTTATTCATCTAACATGAGTCATTGGGAACTCCATTTTCTTTGTATTTCCACAACTTTATTTCACAATTGTTTCTTTCTTTTTCTTTCTCAATCTTTTCTTCTTCTTTTTTCTTTTTTTTTATATGGAGGGGTTCCATTTTTCTCAAAATATGGCCACAACGAGATGTAAAAGGTTCACACATTGTCGATGCAACTTTATTTGGCCTCATCGTAGCCGCGCACTCATTTTCTTTTGATTATGAGCACTATTCAAGTCATCGGTATTGATCAAAACCGATACTTAAATTTTTAAAAGAACAACCACAATAACACACAACGAAAGTGACAAAATATTTTAGAAGGGTCAAAAACCATTTTCATTCATAATAAGGAGCCACAAGCTCAAATGTCCACAAGATAGAAACCAAAACACAATTCAAGACACAAAAACCCAATATATACCAAATATAGTCACAAGAGGTAGGTAGAACTACCTCACATCACCAAAAACAAAAAGGCAGTTGTCTTCAAATGCAATAAAAATAAACTAAAGTCAATAAAAAATGACAGAGAGGGAGGTAAACAACGATCATGTCTACACAGTCGCTCCATCTGTCGTTGCATCAATTCCTGGGGTCACATCAGCAGCTTTGGCATCCGTGCCAGCGGAAGCAGCAACACTAGCTCCAGTAGAGCCTGCCATCGATTTCTGAATAACTAAATGTACAATCATCTTCTCTAGATCAGGCAGGTCCTCATAAATGGCCTCCTCATGAGCATCCAACAGCTTCACATCCATCTCCATTTCCGACCAATCAACTACCACATCCATATGTACATCTACGGTTTTGGTCGGAGGCATCTCAAAATTGGCTGGAGCATTCGGATCCTCAGCTGAATCGAAGAGGGAAGGGAAGTGTGTGGACTTAAGATAGTCCATCCATTCTGAAATCTGCAATCTCGACTTTCAAAGTTTTAACCTTTGAAGTAAGCCTTTGTCCTCTCTCACAGATCTCAACTCTTGTTGTAAGATCATCAATCGACATCTAGAGGAGTTTCAATGCAGCTAGGATGGCTCGCTCAATCATCCAAGGCACTTGGACCTCTTGCCGGGTAGCCCGCACATCGGCTGAATGGTTTAAGTGCCCCATCTTCAAGATCATGGCCTGGGTAATCCTTGTGGGCTGGGAAGTAGTGGAAAAACAGGGAGCCTAGGAGGAATTTGAAGTGAAAGTACCTGAAGGCTCGGAGGCCAGAGTAGGCAAAGATGCATCTATTGGTATAGAATCAACATCAACCTCCGGCGATGCATCCACCGAACCACTCTCTTCCTATCTTCCTCATCCCGAGTGTACTTGGCCTCTATGCACCATATATCTATGTAAGATGTGGGACTGACATTGATGTCCATCTTCTTATCATGAGGAACTCCAGTGCGCCGGCATAGCTCTGTAATTAGGATCGG